ATTTTTACAAAAGTAGCAAATATATGACGTCTCAACCCAGTAAATTGTTATTGATAACAGAAGCTACAGTAGGAATATGAGGCACGCAGTTGAAATAATAATGTTTGAGAGGGGAAAAGGTACAGAAATTCTTCACCAAAAGTGAACTGAGGCTGTCACAAGGTAAGAAAATTCAGGCTAAAAACTTAACAAGAGTTACTGAGAGTTTCAAAGCAATTGACAAAGGCTGAAAATTAAAACTAATCTATTTGTATTATGGTCTCTTGCTCAATCTCAAATTGTAGAATGTAATTTTGAAAACACACAGTTTTGTTTTTAAATCTTAACACTAGGGAATTGTTAGTTGTTGAATTTCTTTGCATTGTATATTGTTTCAAAACAAATGAAAGCCAAAAAANCATTCAGCATTGCCATCAGCTCAGTGTTAACTTGGAGAGACACATTATCCTGGTTATTTCATGATATTTTTAAAAAGTTATGCAAGAAGATTAGGAATCGACTGGAGCATTTACTAATTCTCACTCACAGTATAAACTGAAATACCCTTCCCACAGCTTAACCAGAGTGTAAAATATTGTCTGAGTAAACTTCAACTGCTTTTTAGGTTATATTAAAAGACAAACAACAAATGAACATAAAATTGTAACTTGTTGTTTATTTACAAAAGATCCTGAATGATCGTTTCGCCTAGCTTTAGAATGAGATTTTAATAAGATGCATTGAATTATGGTTAAAAAATTGTGATGGTACTTTTAGTGTGGTGTTTCAATCCAAAATCCAGATTGCCCACTAACTCACAACTGAGCTTCCAAATCATCTAATTTAAAAATAGGATGATGGCTTCAAGTGCAAAATCAGATAATAGTCAGTCAGGAAGGTGGCAGCTCCCATTATCAGCTGATTGAGATAGCGCTATTATATTCTTAGGGACATGTCTCAAGTGCTTATTTTTATCTTAGAATTGCAATGAAGCCACAGTTACAATTAAGGTTATTACAGTTAGGGTTATTACAATTACAGCTAGCACAAGGAATGCATTGCCTGAAAGGGCGGTAGAAGCCTCTTTAATAACATTTTTAAGCGAGAAGTAGATAATTATTTGGGGAGAAGAAGTTTGCAGTGTTATGGGCAGAGAGCGGGGAACTGGGATTGATTTGAATGGCTATTTTCAAAGAGCCCACATAGACATGATCGGCCAAACGGCCTTCTTCTGTACTTATAGTTCTATGATTCTATGAAGGGGGTCACACTATTTCCTTGCCACTGTTCCGGCACCCAAAGTCGATACAGAAAAACATTTTCGGATAAAGCACCTACCCCACCATTCTTGTTGAACATTGAGAATATTTCCAGTGTCTCGCTCTCAAGATTTCAGGAGGAGCCACAAGCACTTGAAGCAATTCAGAATGATGCAGACGCAGGCCTCATGATTGATTGTTCAGCACCCACAATCTATAAAACCATTTTCAGATAAACCAGCTTCACAGTTGCCCTACAAGGTTCACGCAAGCACAGCATTTTACGGTATTAAATCCCTGTAAAACGCTTTGAGATGTCCTCCGATATGAAAGGAGCTACATCAATTGCGAGGATTTTTATTAATAATAATCATTAATGTTGTTAATAATAATAATTATTAATTGTAATTATTGTTGGGGAATGACCTGAAGCACTGATAAATTTCTGAGTGTCTTGTTTGCAAGGTTTTAAGAGATCACTTGAAGTAGTTCACAGTGAAACCAAAGAAGCTTCAGTCTGGTAACTACGGCTCTTGGTGCTCAGGTATTGGATACGAGTTTTCAGATTCCCTCACTCTGTCCATCAGGTGGTTGATGGGGAGTTATCAGTTTCAAGTGAAAAGGACAAACTAAAATAAACACACCCTTTTGCAGAAGCAGATCGATGTTTACACAAGGTAGAGTTTCAATGCGATAATTAATCCATAAATTAGAAGGTTGTGGGGGGGAGAAAACTATTAGTTTTCTTTATTTATCAGTAATGTGAGAAGTGTTTGTGTATTAACAACCAGACGGAGGGCTGCCATTAACATTTCATGATTCGTTTGGCTCAGGGCTGATGCTGAAAGAAGGGCGACGCTGCACATATTTCCCCTGTTTATGTAAACGGAATCTTTCTGGTTCTTGAATGGAATTTGAGGAAATGGAAATCGGGCAATTTAGACGGATCAATTTTGATCTTGACTCATAGGAGTCGTAAGCAGAGAGGTGCAGGGGCATTAATACAAAAAGCTTTTTGATCCCGAACGTCAGTGATGATAGTTTTACATTCCCGTGTGTAAGGTGCTATACAAATGTAATTTGTTGCTGTTATCATTACAGGCATGAACCCCGGGAACTGCCGATCCAAGATATTTCCATTACCTAAGACTACAAGCTGCAAGGATGACTTTGAGGCAGTAAAGAATGATGGAAGAAAGAGGAGCGTGCATTTCCTGCACACGGAAGAGACATGCTTTGTTTTGGATAATCGTTACACACCGGCTGGTTTTCATAGCAACAGGTTGTCAGCTTCAGCTAATGTTCCCTGTTGTGGCCCAGCTACTGTATCAACGGCTGTGCCATCAGCATCCCACAGGCCTGTGATCCTATCTGAAGATAATCAGGAGATAACATCGGTCCCAGAGTCCGCAACCTCCCAGGATCGGGACAGTAACATAGCTGGGGCTGGTGACAGTACTGCACCGTTATCAGCTGTTCCTTGCTTCAGTGATAGGAGGCGAAATAGAGACCAGTGGAACGGCTCAGTCATTGGATCAGACGCATCGAAGGAAGGTATATTGCTTGCACCATATTGAGTACTTCTTTCCTCTACTGACTACCTGGGTGCACGATCTTATGTTGCTTTTCCCCCCTTCCCTCCCCACTTTCAAATCCCGCCTAAAGACCTTTCTTTTTGATCGTGCTTACGGTCACCTCCCCCACCAGACCCCTTCTCCCCCTGGCTCAGGGTCAGACCCGCCATATCAAGTGCTCTGGGATGTTTCCCCCTGTGAAGGGTGCTATATAAATGCAAGTTGTTGTTGTGTTATTATAGCGTTCCATTAAGACTTACCTATATTATAAGACTTACCTTGGGATGTCCTCCCGACGTTGTTGGTGTTGTTGCATTAGAGGTTTTGGAAGAACAGGAAGATAAAGTTACGTTTCAGTAATGCTCTTAGCAAAGATAAGAGATCATTCGTTTTGATACCAAGACATTTAGCAGGTTTATTTCAGTTATTATAGCATCCCATAATACTTACCTAAATTACAAATTACTTATTCTCGGTTTTCCTTGTTACTTATACTATTCCTCGCATTTGCATACTTAAAAGAATGCAGACAGAAACAATGAAATAAATATGCTTTATAGTATATCCCGGCAAGCACTTTGAGACGTTCTCCTGACATGAAATGCGCTTCATCAAATGTGAATATTAGAATTATTATTAATATAGATCATTCAGTGTATTTAGTAAATCAATAACAAATGCAAATGCAAACAAATTTAGATCCAGTAATTAGTAGTGCAGTACATCCACCTAGATACGCAGTCACTCGACTTTACACTAAATTCAGTGAAGCAATTGATTTTCTGAAAATTGAATAATGCGGTGTACGAAGTGCAAGGATTATTATTATTAGTGCAATAAAGTACAATGTTACTAAATGGATACCATATGTTATCTATGTTTTCTACAAAATAATTTTCCCACTAATTTCCCACTAAAAGACCACGGGTTTTCTTTCTAGCACAAAGCTAACTGTAGATTTGTTTGTGCCATGTCTTTTCAGTGTGCAGCATCTAATACAACTTCTACTGTTCAAGGAGATGCAGTTAACCTGCACACATTTTCTAAGATAAACTTAATAACACAGTACTCTTTTTCCTTCCTACCCGCTTGTCGCATTTGTATTGGTAACAGAATTTGGCAGTGACTTCTCTGAAATTGGTGACATATTATTTCTCTGTGGCCTGTAACTAATGTTGCAAGCATTTGGTAATTGTATTGTGTTCTGCTCTTACAGGAATGAGAATATGTTATCAATTTACCTCATTTATTTAGGTGTGAACTCCTATCAAACTTGCAAGAACAAAGATCCACATGATACTCAATGTTGGGTATGAATTGTTTTATTAATGTAATATTTACATAGAAATAAAACATTATTGTCAAGGGTATTTTCATTGTGTAAATGGCTCAATGGTTTATTTCAGGTGGTGAAGGATTCAGATGGTTCTTTGGGAGCACCAAGGTGTCCAATTTGTCACAGTGTAACAACATGGATCTCACAAGTCTCCTCTGACATTCACTCTGTCAACCGTATTTCCCAAGAACAAGCTGTAAATCCATCAAATCTAACAAACACCGAAAATAGTAAGCATTTAAACAAGACTAAAATTCAACAGTTCACGTTGAGGATCAAAGAAGGGATTAATAATCCTTATGTAAAAAGGACTGGGCTTTTTAGAAACGTGTCAACTTTACATCAAAGATTCATCCAATACGTAAGATCCCAGTTCACATCTTGCTCCATAAGAGGGTTATGCGACCACTATTATGCCATTGCTTTAATATTCTGGATAACTATTATTATTGTGCTTGTCTTGGTTCTCATCAGTACTGTTATTTTAAGATAAGGAAACTCGTGGTTAATAATGAAAGATGTCATTCAGTCCAACTCGTAATTGTTGTCTTATGTCAGAACTGTTCTGTTAAAACTGCAGACGTGATGCTGAAAACAATGTCCACTCACAAATAATTAATGATGTATTGCACATATCAGTAGTCTGCCAACAATCATTATCTAGGCTCACACATTAGCAATGTACCTTACTTGGGTAAGATATTAGAGAGTGCGTCTTCTCATTTCAACAACAGCACTAGACCATTCATTTCAACAACACAGCATCTGTTGATTTCAACCACAGCACTAGTCAACGTTCAGGAGACTAGGGAATATTGAGCGATGAAAAAAATGTGTCATCCTTCTTCTACATTTACAGTGGTTTCACTTTCATTATGTTGGAAAATGTTACTTTTATTACTGTAGTAAGAAATATTCTCCCTCAACCAGGAAGGGAGCAGGAGCAAAACATAACAGGATCGGGGAAGCTGTCTTTAATGGAATGAAGAAAGACATTTTACTATCAATCACAAAATAATACTAGTTTTACTGCTTTGCAGACACTCTCGTTTTTGGACTGCTTCCTTCCTCCAACACTTTGATGACACCTGTTATGTGAAAGATATACAGCCTGGAGCTGTTCCTATTTGGCTAGAATAATAATCCTTGCAATTGACGTGGTGTTTTTGTACACTCGTCAAAACCTCTTAAAGTGCTTCACAGGATTGACTGTAGAATGAACTGTAGTATTCAATAGTGTATTTCTAAATAAAAACGTTGCTGCATTTGCTTTATTTAGTCTGAAATAAATTACAGTTAAACCAGATTAGTAAATTGCTGAAAGGGAATCAAATTACAGCAAATGAAATGGTAGTTAGGATGTGTTTTGTACAACAAAGCTCGTCCAACTCTGCTTCTTTGTGCAATCGTTTCCTGATGTTTACAACATGGTTTAGTCTTACTGCCGAAACAATTGAAGTTACTGAGCACCAATGATTTGTTGTCCTAATTTCTCAACACATTAACTTCAGTGTATAAGAGAAAAAACGCCTGTGATTTGACGTCCTTGAAATTAATGTGTAATGTGCAGCTGCCAAGTGAGGCCAAATTCAGAGTTATTGAATTTGATCTACACTGAAAAGAAGTTGGAATTGTTCACCAAACCTTTTAAAATAATAAACTACAAGCACGAGCACTCTGCAAATCCATTACAGCCGGGGAGGCAGTAGGGAGCAAGATAATTTACCCTATACCTTGGGTTAGGTAAGAGAAAATTTAGGGCTCCTCCTGTTGACTTGATGTAGAAAGAGCACATTTGGCTGCGATCGTCAATCTGCTGGAAATAAATTGACTAACCCGGTAGACAACCTGAAGTAAAATACTTCAGAAAAAACAAAGGATAATCCCTTTGACCATCGTTCAGCTACTCCCCGTCTGCCGCCCACCTCTAAAGACTACACATATAGGTGGACTCAACAAGGTAAATTATTTACATTTTATAACATAATCATTATAAAAGATTGACCCGTGTTAATATGGGTTAGGAGAGAACTGTCTGTTTATCTCCTCTCTTTGTGTGGGTCACCGGAGACTATCCACAAACACAGTGGAATTTAAAGTTTGTTATACTTTGGTGCACCATGAATACTGAAAACACGCTTCCAGCATAAGGAAAGTTTACATGCATTTATGAGGTTTAGTCTATTTGTACATTTTAGTTTGCAACATCTAAAATCCACAAGAAAGCACTTGATTGGAGATGCTGAATCAATAGTCATCTCACAGACAAGTACAGGACAAACTGATCTCATCCCAAGAATGTGGTTGAGACATATAGTAAAACATGATTTGTTACTGAGAAATAAATCTCAATAGCACTTATGTACAGCAATTCTGCCACTGCAGTGGAATAATGCTACCTACTAACAGCAATAAAGCTTTACAATAAAATACTCTTTTATCTTGAAATATTTTAGCTATTTTTAAATCAAGGGAAAATTGATCCCAGAGTCAAAAAGTTTATACCAGTGCTTAGACATATGTAATGTCATCTTAAGATAAACTTCAGCTTTGCAACAGTATGTTTCACAAAGAGAGCTTGTTGAATAAACTATTGATATTGTATTTTAATAAGCTATCTGTAGTTTTCAGTCACGCCATCATTTTTCTTCGTGTTTTGTTCCAGTTCTAACAATTTCTTATAAAATGCTTCAGCTGTTTCAATGTCAAGGTCCATCTAAAGAAGAGAACAAATCATTGTCAAAACAGTGCAAACAAATAGTCAGTTGCAATGGATTTCGATAATGTTTAGGACAGTGTTTTACTGAGGTCAAGTAAAATTACAACGGTACAGTACAGATTAAATAACAGGTAATCTACTGCTTCTTATTTCGTTGTTTCTTTTCACATTACCCATGGCCTTGTGACCATTTCACAGATACGAAAAAGTCTCAGAAATGCTATGAAGGTTACAGAACTGCAAATGGACTAGCTGTTAATTTGCTCAAGAGGAGGGGGGATATTTTTCCCCCAAAAAAACTCTTGAAGGCAGACACTTCGGGGCTTTGTGCTGGTGTAAAGAAATATCTGCTTAAAGAAATATCTGAAAAACGTATGCTTTGGCAGAAAGAATAAGTAAACTAATAATTAGTGCCGGTTCCACATGGACAAGCCTTCAAATAAATTGATATTGCAAGAGAATTCCATGTGTGGCTTTATTCAACAGCAACAAGATTACATTTGTATAGCGCCTTTCATGTCGTGAGGACGTCCCAAGATGCTGAAACTATTCAATATGAAGTTAATTTTTATTATAAAAGATGCAATAAAAATTTATAAATAACAATGAGGATCTTCACTGTATTCCTCTAGTGGAACATAAAGTGCCATCTAACCTTCCTTGGGACTACATAATTATTCCCGAATCCAGATGTGCAGCTGTGGTACTTCACCAAGGGGTCCAATGACTCTGGTTTCTGTTTGAACAACCAAACCTACAAAAGAGAAAAAAAAAGATTAGAAATGACAGGATTATTGAGAATCTTTTATCTTACATCAAAGAAAGTGAAAACTTTGAAATGTGGTACTTCCGTCAGCAGGTCATGAACTCCTCTTCCTCCGAGAGTACATCACAAACTGAGATAAACATTCAATGCTTAAAACTCCCTTTCAAATAGAGAAAGCACAATGAACTACCAGCTTGCTCTGTGACAAGCTTCTTCTCTGGGTTCCCAAACCATGTTCATGAGGAGATCTAATGATGCTAAATTGACAGCCTGAACCACTCTGTGAGGCATGGAGATAATGTTTATATTGTTGTTCAGCCTCTCATAATTTCTGCCTCGATATCCCATACCTGAAATCTGAAAAATGACTATAAACAATAACAAGTTCCATTTATGTAAAGTACTTTTTATGTCGGAAGGACATCCCAAAGACATTGAAATTCGACCAGATTTGAGAAGTCGATTCCCTTCTCCATGCTGCCCAACGGCACAGATGGGAGAATTGAACCAGGAACCTTCCAGGTTTTATACGAACTGAGCCACAGGATGATTCAGCTGAATAACATCCTTCAAAGTATTGGCTCATGTAAAACACAGTGGTTGGTGCATACAGTTTTTTTACCATTACCAATGCTGCCGTTTTCTACATACCAGTGCCTCTGTTCCATTCTGGGTATTGAGGGTGAATGAGTTTGTGAAGACTCGAATCTAGAATGCAAATATAAGCAACAGAAACGTGACTCAAATTAGCGCTGGAAACTGCATTTGTGGCATAGAATTTGAATATAGACAGAAATTCTACTCACCAGCCACATAATGGGCATAAGTAAAGTCCAGATGAATGGATGTAGGATGCCGTAGGTCAAATTAGTCAACACGAGGCCTGGACATATCACACTGGAAAACAGGCCCTGAAACAATGCAGACATTTTATATTTAGAACATGAAATTACAGTCTACACTTCTAGTTTCTAGATACTCAAACAGGTTTAGAAACATTTCATTGTTAGAGATGCAAATCAATAATAAGAAGCCAGTAAGTCTTTCTACAGGGCATTTATTCACCTATCCCATTCAACTTCCAATGTTTCAGATCACGTGTGCTTGGGGTGGGTTTATCGATTTAGTTGTGCCTTTTAGATTTTTCTGGGAACCATTTTTTCAGGTATTTAGGTGAAGCAGCCAACTACCAATGGTCACTGCTCTTCCGACATGAAAGTAAACAGAGTTCAAAATTAACGCATTCATACCAGCAACTACCTAAACACTTCACATTCAATGGAAGGTACCAGCTCTTTAGAAGTAGAAGTGATTGGCCTGTGATCTATGACAAAGGCTACTGAGCTCACCTGGCTATTGTAGTGTTTGTTCAAGGCTACACTGAGCAGATCAGTTGCATATTTGGATGAACTGTAGGATTCCTGGCCATGACCATGCTGGTAGTCAGTTAGACTGAAGGCAGATTTCCTTGCGTTGTTGGAAGATGTCCAAATTACTTGCGACGGACACCCAGGCTGACCCAATAAAGGTTCTAGGCCACGTATCTAGAAAAGAAACATTTGAGTCCAAAACATGAAATATATTTTCTTAACTTTTATATTGTTTTACCTTCTTCCCACCATATGTTACTCACAAGACCTTTTGCTTTACCCCATTCTTCCTTAGAACAGGCGCCAAAGCATGGATCTCACACCTTCAGTACACAACATATAGACTTTCTCCTATTTCTGGGTTCATACAGAAAGAATTGCCCCTTGAGTGCAGCTCTGAAGGTGATGGCTACACTGGGCAAACCAGACCCAATAATGACTAAAGCACTTTAGGAAAGGAATGGCAAACGGTAAACTGGAAAATCCAGGTCATTGGGACGGTAGATTAATAGGGTGCTATTATTCCAATTCAAGGAGCAATTTTGTGAAGAATGTGGAAAATGTCAAAATAATGCCGTTAAATCAGTACGGACTGGATGGTTTGACAGATTAGTTGTAATTCCAGCAGGGTGTCTGGGTTAAAAAGCTTTAACCAAATAAGTCACTGGAAGTGAAACACATCTCATTCAGAGATGACATATGGTCACTGCTCTTCTGACATGAATGTAGACAGAGTTCAAAATGAATGCATTCGTACCAGCAAAAAATGTCCAAAGACGTTGGTCATGAAGACCTGCTGCAGTCCATCATCTGTGACCCAGTCTTCCTGGGTAAGTAATCCTTCCCCTGTGGCAAACATACTGATAACTTTGCTGTTAAGACAAAAACTCAGTCATAATGGAAAATGCACAGATTTCCTTATCAATGTGGAAAGTCACTTCAGCAAGTGCTTCTGAACACTGTTAGTACTTTACCTGGAAAACAGACCATTGATGAAGGCTTTCAAATTGATGCGAGGATTGGGCATAATCCCAGCATTCAGGTACAGATAATCCAAACGCTGATACCTGCATCAATACAAAGCACTTCAAATTAATGAAAGGCAATTTGGGTTCAGTGTTCATGAACTGACGAGTCGTTTTCTTTGCTATTGGATTTTTACATAGGCACGAAACAAATACAAGACTAAAGCAGATTGCAATGACACTTTGGATCCTCTGATGATCACACAAGACAATGGGACAAGCAGATCTCAATGTCAAGAGATTCAAACCTGGATTAACAGGGAAGTGAATGGATCCAAGTGTCTTCTAACAGCTACGCCACTATGAGCCTACAATAAGCATGTGATTGAGTGAAAAATGTCTGACTTTCTGAGTTTACGTACAGTGCAATCATGCAATCTTACCTTTCAGCAAGTGGGCTACAAATAAACTACTTTAATGTTAATAGTAAATTAAGGACTTGCTGGTGCTGTTCTTCAGAACTACGGCCTTTCAACTCTAGGATCTGCATCTGATTGCAATCCAGACTGAAGGACTACTCTATGACTGACAATTGTTGCCTGAAATCAGTTTGGGAATATTAATTGAGATCCTAGTAAGTGCAACACAAAAATGGCCCGCAGAGGAGAGGATTATAGGGTAAACAGTGCTCATGGAACTGTACATCACGTGAGGAGGCTGGGGACTCAGAGTGAAATATATAGCATATATCAATAGGGAAAAAGGTAGGAAATTATTGGTTACATCATGGCAAACACTTTGTCAGATTCATTTGTTGGGTTGGTGGTCACTTGAAATGCATTTTGCTGTCACTGAATTTCCACCTCACTCTGCATTAACAATCACATTGCCCCATACCTCTGCATTATCTCCTGCGCTGCTTCGATCACGGATTTTATATTCCCGACATCCACCCTCAGCAGGTTAATGTCAGAGCCAGGATGTGACAGGAGAAGCGCTGCCTTGGCAGCCTCCGCTCGCTGCATGTTCCGACAGGCCAAGCACAAGTGTATCTCTCCATCCTCGGCCAGCAGGCGCTCACAAAGAGCCAGGCCAATGCCGCTGGGAAAGAGGTAAAATAAAGGGTTGCTGGCTGCAAGATGATAAAAATGAACAAACAAGGGTACTTGTACAATTCGTTTTCAACTAACGGAAACACACAAGAGGGAGAGGGAGCTGTTGATGAAATTGATGAATTTGGATCTCAACAACTGACTGTCACTGAAATTGAATTGCTTTTCCCAGTTCATTCGCACACAGCCCAATTTTGGGTATTAAATTAATAATATTAAATTAATGTTATACACCTGAGTGTCTTCCCCGTCTCCCTCTTTGTGGTGAAAACTGCGTGGTGGCACAAAGGTTGAAATGGGGGAGAATTTTTTAAAAAGTAGTAAGATATCTTCAGTTATCATTACTGTTTGATTATAACATCAGCAATGCTCTTGTATTTTTCTGTGTTCAATTTTCTTGGGAAATGAAAAAAAACGACAGAATTGCTCAGTGCCATTGATTTGTTCCCAATGTTGCTTAATATCACTTCTATAATAAAGAAGAACCCAGTTGCAGACAGACTCACAGGGGCTGTGCATCCAGAAGGAATCGTGTTGAACCGCAAAGGTAGCTTTTTTCGGTGGAAATGAAACGTACAGTTTCTACTATGAAGATATTTTATTATAGCAAAGTAATTGTGTGAGAGTGCAAGCGCTCTCAAGAGGCAGAGTTTAAACATCTGAAATCAAAATTTTTCTTACAAATGATTTTTTAAGCATCTACATCTCCCAAAGGGCAAACAGTTCACACTTGGAACTACAGCATTTTTATTTAAAATACTTTTGAACCACAATATTTGTATTTAAAATGAAACACTGTACAGTCTGCAGTGTAAGGACAGCCTTACATCTCTCCTTTGTGTGGTTACCTTGTAAACCACAAACAAAATGTGTTTTTTTTTCATTCTCAATGGACTTTGAGAACAAACAATCGCTTTGGCCCTGTAAACTCTGAATCAGGAGATACATTAGAGAAACAAAGTCTAAAACAACACTCTTAAAACTTTAGCTTTTTTTCACAACAGGACTGAAATTAACAAGATGCCCGAAAAATTAACTGAACTCTGGAATTCTGAAATACCCCCACCAACCCCCACCAATGGGCAATGGTGGAGATGTAAAAGAGGAAAAGCAAGTATCTGAAAGGCAGGTCAAACCAGGTGTGAGATCCATAGAACCATAGGAATTTACAGCGCAGAAGAAGGCCACTCAGCCCATCATGTGTGTGTTGGCTCTTGTAAGAAGCGATCCTTTCAGTCCCGTTTACCTCTTTCCCCGTACCCCTGCAAATTACTCCTTTATTATATCTCTAGTTCTTCACTGAAAGCATATTAGGTTCTTCCAAACAGGAGCATTGGGATGAAGAAGATCCTTTCTGCCCATTTGACCTCATCCTTCCACAATACCCACTTCAGCCATCGACCATCTTGCTCCCCGGACATTGGAATGGACATGAAGCTTGAATGTGCAGTGACCCAGGGACCTGGGACATTACCTGCACCACACCCTGTCTCTAAAGTCACCTGTTGGCTCCGGTTACGAGAACAACCTTCCGGGTGATCGTTGCCAAGGTGCTGGGATCCGCCATCGCTTAGGATTTGAAGGAGGTGGTGGCAGGAATCTCTGCTCAGTCTCACTTGTACTGTTACAGATGGGGTGTCACTTTTCCCTGAGCACAGCAACTGTCTGTGTCACTGTCTCTCAGTCTCTGGGTCACTGTCTCCCTGTCAGTCTCTGGGTCACTGTCTCTCTCTCTCAGTGTCTGGGTCACTGTCTCTCTCTCAGTCTCTGGGTCACTGTCTCTCTCAATGTCTGGGTCACTGTCTCTCTCAGTCTCTGGGTCACTGTCTCTCTCTCTCTCAGTCTCGGGGTCACTGTCTCTCTCTCAGTCTCAGTATGATTGTGTTTATCTCTCTGTTTGTCTCACGGTCACATTTGATCTCTTTCTCTCTGAGTGTCACACTCTCTGTCTGTCAGTGTTTGTCCCTCTCCTTCTGTCTCTCTCACTGTCACTCACTCTCTACCACATACTCTACCTCTCTCAGTCTCCCCCACCCTCTGTCTGTCTGTCTGTCTGTCTGCCACACTCACCCTCTTTCTCTGTCTGTCTGTCACACTCACCCTCTCTCTGACTGTCTGTCACACTCACCCTCTCTCTGTCTGTCACACTCACCCTCTCTCTGTCTGTCACACTCACCCTCTCTCTGTCTGTCTGTCACACTCACTCTCTCTCTGTCTGTCTGTCACACTCACCCTCTCTCTGTCTGTCTGTCACACTCACCCTCTCTATGTCTGTCACACTCACCTTCTCTCTCTCTGTCTGTCTGTCTGTCTGTCTGCCACACTCACCCTCTTTCTCTGTCTGTCTGTCACACTCACCCTCTCTCTGACTGTCTGTCACACTCACCCTCTCTCTGTCTGTCACACTCACCCTCTCTCTGTCTGTCACACTCACCCTCTCTCTGTCTGTCTGTCACACTCACTCTCTCTCTGTCTGTCTGTCACACTCACCCTCTCTCTGTCTGTCTGTCACACTCACCCTCTCTATGTCTGTCACACTCACCTTCTCTCTCTCTGTCTGTCTGTCTGTCACACTCACTCTCTCTCTGTCTGTCTGTCACACTCACCCTCTCTCTGTCTGTCTCACCCTCTCTCTGTCTGTCTGTCACACTCACCCTCTCTCTGTCTGTCTGTCACACTCACCCTCTCTATGTCTGTCACACTCACCCTCTCTCTCTCTGTCTGTCTGTCTGTCACACTCACTCTCTCTCTGTCTGTCTGTCTGTCTGTCTGTCACACTCACCCTCTCTCTGTCTGTCTGTCTGTCACACTCACTCTCTCTCTGTCTGTCACACTCACCCTCTCTCTCTCTGTCTGTCTGTCTGTCACACTCACTCTCTCTCTGTCTGTCTGTCACACTCACCCTCTCTCTCTGTCTGTCTGTCACACTCACTCTCTCTCTGTCTGTCTGTCACACTCACTCTCTCTGTCTGTCACACTCACTCTCTCTCTGTCTGTCTGTCACACTCACTCTCTCTGTCTGTCACACTCACTCTCTCTCTGTCTGTCTGTCACACTCACCCTCTCTCTCTGTCTGTCTGTCTGTCTGTCTGTCACACTCACTCTCTCTCTGTCTGTCTGTCACACTCACTCTCTCTCTGTCTGTCACACTCACCCCCTCTCTCTCCCTATGACACTCTCTCTGTCTCTCTCTATCACTCTTTTGCTCACTCTTTCTTTCTATCACCATCACTGTCTCTCCCTCGCTCTCCCGCAGGCCCCGCCCCCAGGCCCAGGCCCCGCCCCCTCACGCCACTCCGCCTGAGCCGATCATCTACGGGTCGCCGCTTCGGCCTTTTTTAAAACAAAAAAAAAACATCGGCGGTCGCGCGATTTCGAAACGCAGCCGCACCTCTCAGCGATGTGGGACTGAGCTTCCAACCCGAGTGTGAAAGCCTCAGGAGTGCCCCTGTGGGGCCAATCGTTCGCCAGTGCACGAACCCGTCAGAAGAGCAATAAGATAATCCGCTACTCATACTCATAATGATACCTCCCCCACCACCCCCCCCACACCCCCCCCAAAAAAAACACACGGTAAAACAATACGCTTTGCACTCACTTGTCTTTTTGAGTAGAAACGCGGCGGAAAATATTATCTTCCCCGTGCGCTGGTCGCGGTGATGTGACGTTAGGGATCCCTGAGAGGAGGCGGCGCGGAAACCGGCCGTTCGGCTCAACTGGTCTGTGCCGGTCTTTACGCTCCACGTGAGCCTCCTCCTGCCCTCAACTAAGCCTTCAAAGCACAACGACAGCAACAACAACAACAACCACGACAACGACAACGACATTACATTTGTAAAGCGCCTTTCGCGTCGGGAGGACGTCCCAAGGCGCGGGACAGACAGAGTTACGGACCCGAGCTGGGGGGTCGGGGTGGTGAAGGACGGCGGGCGGGGCGGGTGGGGGGGGCGGGGGTTGGGGCGGGGCGGGGGGGGGGAAGCAGGGAGATCGAAAGCACGGTCGAAGAGGAGGGTCTGGAGGTGGGTCTTGAAGGTGGCGAGGGAGGGGGCGAGATGGAGGGACTGCGGGATGGAGTTCTAGAGGGTGGGGGCAGAGTGGCGGAAGACCCGCCCGCTAATAGTGGGGCGAGCGAGGCGGGGGACGCGAAGCAGACCGGAGCCCGCTGAGCGGAGGGAGCGAGGAGAATAGTAGGAGGTTAGGAGGTTGGAGAGATAGGGGGGAGCAAGACCATGGAGGGCTTTGAAGGTGAGGACCAGGATCTTCAACCACTGTGTGATGGGCAGCCAGTGGAGTTGGGCGAGGATGGGGGTGATAGGGTCGCAGAGCCTGGTGCGGGAGAGGACACGGGCTGCAGAGTTCCGGATGATCTGCAGCCTGTGGAGGGAGGAGTTGGGGAGGCCGACAAGCAGTGAGTTTTCATAGTCGAGCCTCGATGTAATGAAGGCGTGTATGAGGGTTTCGGCGGCCTGCGCTGTGAGACAGTGTCGGAGCCGGGCGACGTTGCGGAGGTGGGGGAAGGCAGATCGGGTCATGGCGCAGATGTGGGGTCGAAAGGATAGTTGAGGGTCAAACAAGACCCCGAGGTTCCGGACTGGCTTAGCAAGGTGGAGTGTGCAACCATGGATGGTGATACTGTCAGCACCTGAGGTGAGGAGGCGCTGACGGGAGCCAATCAGGAGAGTCTCGGTCTTGTTGAGGTTCAACTGAAGAAAGTTAGCTCTCATCCGGGACGTGATGTCTGACAGACATTCTGTCATCACAGCAGCAGTCCTGGAGTCGAGCGTGGAGGCAGAGAGGTAGAGTTGGGTGTCATCCTCATACATGTGGAAGTTGACCCCATGTCTGTGGATGATGTCACCAAGAGGTTGTCATCTTCAATGTAGATATTGAAGAGGAGGGGACCAAGGACAGAGCTCCGAGGAACGCAGCACGAGGCGGTCCGGGGGCTAGAGGAGAAGCCGTTTGTGGAGATGAAGTGCAGGCGGTGTGAGAGGTACGATCTGAACCAATCAAGGACAGCACCGTGGAGGTTGAGGTGAGAGGAGAGGCGGTGGATGAGGATAGAGTTGTCGAAAGCAGCAGAGAGGTCAAGGAGGACAAGGAGACAAAGGGAGTCCTGTTCGCAGATGGACAGAATATCATTTGTCACTTTGACCAGGGCTGTTTCTGTGCTGTGGGCGGCACGTAAGCCCAATAGGAGAGGTTCGAGAAGGGAATGGTGGGAGAGGAAGGAGCGAAGCTGAGAAGCAGCAACTTGTTCCAGGACCTTGGAGAGGAAGGGGAGGTTGGAGATGGGGCGGTATTTAGAGAGTGGAGAAGGGTCCAGGGAGGGTTTTTTAAGGATAGGAGTGATGACAGCGGTTTTTAAAGGGGTGGAAACAGTACCAGAGGATAGGGAGAGGTTAACAATGTCAGTGAGTAGAGGAGCAAGGAGGTGGAGCTGGGAGGTAAGGAGAGGGGAGGCATGGGATCGAGGGAGCAAGTGATGGGTTTCATAAGAGTTATGGTGGTGATGAGAGAGGAGGGGGAGACAGGTTCAAAGGTGTGGAGGAAGGGATAGGTAAGGGCCGGGGGTGAGAGGAGGAGATGGAGAGGGTATAGCAGATGCAGTGGCAAAGGCAGCTGAGCGGCTCCCCTCGACTTAACCTTCTATTCCTTTCTCCCTCATGTACATATCTAGCTTTCCCTTAAATACATCTATGCTATTTGCCTCAACAACTCCTTGTGGTAGCATGTTCCACAGACCCACTACTCTTTGTGTGAAGAAATTTCTTCTAACTTCCCTATTTGATCAATTTGTGACTATTTTATATTGATGGCCCTTGGTTTTGGTCTCCCCCACAAGTGGAAACATCTTTCCTATGTCTACACTATCAACACCTTTCGTAATTTTAAAGACCTCTATCGGGTCACCCCTTACCCTCCTCTTTTCAATAGAAGAGAGTCCAAGCATATTCAGCATTTCCTGATAGGTACAACCTCTCAGTTCTGGAATAACCTCTCGCAACAGCTCATAACAGCTGTTGAGTGCATTCATTTCTCTATCCGAACAACAACAACAAGATTACATTTGTATAGCGCCTTTCACGTCGGGAGGACATCCCAAAGCGCTGGACAGTGTTCAGCATTTCAGACCCGAGCTGGGGTCAGGGGTGGAGAAGGGAGGGGAGGGGAAGGGGGTTGGCTGATGGCATGGTTGAAGAGGAGGGTCTTGAGGCGGGACTTGAAGGAGGCTAAGCCCAGTACTGGAGATGCAGTACTGGCCCAGGCTATGAGCAACTGTGAGACACATAAGATTCTCAGAGGGGCTTTATTACGAAGGTACTGTATATAAGATTTTAAATGGGATAGAGAAAATAAATTCAGCACTGTATACCTTTGATGCATCGAGACAAAGGAACAAGAAGATACAAGTTAAGCTTGCAGGTTGCAGCTCATCCACAACTCAGCTGAATGTATGCCCACCCACACTAAACTTTGCATGCCCATCACCGCAGTCCTCATTGTCTCCTTATCTTCCAGCGGAGTGACTTCAAGATCCTAACCCTCACCTACCAGTCCCCTTTCAACCATCGTATCACTCTATCTCTGTGATCTACTCAAGCTTCACTCTTCTGCTCGCATCCTCCAATCTGCAAACTAAGGGGACTGCTGCACATTCCTCATTCCCTCCACCCCACAATTACTGACTGAGTCTTCAGCCACTATGTCCCTACCTCTGGAACTCCCTCTCTCAACCTTTCTGTCTCGGCCCTTATTTATATGTATTCCCAAACTGCCTAAAAGTGAACCTCTATTAACTTGCCTATGGTCACCTTCCTTTTAACTCTACCATCAAAGATACAGCATATGCAGCCTCTGTTCTTTTCCATTGTTCCCTCATCTGTTTCATAATTTCTATCCCTTGAAATTTGACTTGTTTCCCAGAGAATTAAGTACAAGGTATTTAAATTGGAATAAATGACTTAAATTTGAAGTTGATGGGAATCCCGCTGATATAACGACTGTACTTTTCCATATAAAATGTTTGGTTTTCTGCATGTAAAACGCTGCATACTTTTAGCACGACCAAATGCTACAGGTATTTTAATGAAACTCAGATAGGTACTGAACTGCTTCAGAGATTCAAACAAGCTGTGTGTATTTACATAATCTGGGTCCAATCTGAATTATTTGGAATGCCTGAGTGATATGCACTGCTTAGATGGGACCTTGGTTTAATGTCTCATCCAAAGGATGGCACCTCCAACATCTCCAATACTGCTGTTGGAGTGTCTGCCTAGACTATGTGAGTTCTAAGCACCGTAGGGCTCGAACCTGCAACCCTTCTGACTCAGAGGTGAGAGTGCTACCTACTACCTACTGAGCCACACAAAAAAGATCTTTTTAAGAGAAATTATGGACTGCTTCAACCACTGTTTGTTTGCAGATGATTCACAATCCAACCACCCGTTGTGCAAATAAATGGTTTCTAATCCCTTCATAATCTTGAAGACTTATTAAGACATCCCTTAACCTTCTGAGCTCCAGTGAAAAATATTCAGCAGATGCATTATCTTTTGTTCTGTAACCACTGTCCGGATTTTCTCTGCTGTAGACTCCAGTGGGGCTGTCAATTGCCACACAGATTGTTTATTTGCCACTCTGTGAAGCCAATTTTCTCTTTGTAACAATTTATTGGTTCAAGTGTATTTAGAGCTCCGAGACAGTATCCTTCTGCATGAAGGATGCTATTTACAATAAGTTGTTGCTCGGGCCAACGATCCCCCCAATACAATTGGTCATTTATTTCATAGCTGTTCGTGGGATATTGCTGTACGCAATTGTGCTGCTGTGTTTGCTTACAAATACAGTCACTCCACTTGATAGTAATTCCCGTGAAGCGCTTTGATGTGTCCTTCCAACCCGATAAGGTGCTATACCAAATGCAAGGATTATTATTATTATTATCATTGTTGCTTATTTTTCCAATGCACTACCACTGGTGAATTATATACAAACAGAGGTTTCATAAAACTAATCATGGGGTTTTCAAAGGCTGAATATTTCACACACATCAGGTGTTTGTGCTAGGATAAAACAATTAAAATGCTACAAAAATGTACTTATATTTCTCATAAATCTCGGTGCTCGAGATCTAAACCTCATGTGAATTTACTGTCATCTGTGCACTTTGTGTACAGCTAGTCACTGGAGAGCTTAACACATAGCCTGGGCTGATAGAAAAGTGCAGACATATTTGCACCACACACAGATACAGAGACCAGAGAGAAAGACACACACAGATCCACACACATGCTCATAGACACAGAGAGAGAGAGACACACACACACACACACACTTGCCTACACAGAGACACACACACACACACACTCAGACACAAAGAGACATATGCACACAGGGAGGCGAGAGACATGCATACACTGTTTATAACAGATTCCGCTGAAAACTTGCGGCTGGACTTTTCTATTGGCCCAGCACATAGCTAACAGTGTTTAAGCTTTGTGTCTTTGAAAACAATCACATTTGAATCTGTATAAAAGATTACTATTATAATTAATAAAGTACAGAATGCTCTAGAGATGTACAATTCCTGCTGCTTCCTGGGCTTTACTCTGCAATGGGAAATAATGCCAAGAGAATTACACCCCCTCCTGTTGCCTCCTCTCCAGCAGACAAAGAATTAAAGAGGCATTTGTCTGGAATTTCTGGCTTGCAAGCTAAACAATCCTGGAATTGTGCACAAACGGAGAGTGGCAGCTCAGAGCGACGGGTATAGCAATGGACACAGTAGTATAGCAATGGACACAGTAGTGAGTTGGATGATTTGAAATAAAAACATGTTTTGAACAGTTTTAAAAGGCGCAGTCTTCAAAGCAAAGCAGTTAAGTAAACAGTGAGCCTTTGAGAGTGCTCCAAATTCCTCTCACTTCCCACACTCCTATCTTGCTTCCCAGTGGTGCTGTTGATCAGCACACATCCTCTTCCATTTAGTAGTGCAGGCCAGCCTGCATCCAACGCTCTGTACCGTATTGCTAATCTGTCTTAAGGAGGAGCACAAGACCTTGCCAGACAACAAAGCACATGTATTTTATATGCTTATACAGCAGATGGATTTTACTTTACAAAGCTGCTCTCTCTCTCTCCAATTTGCTAATGAGACACACTCTTTAATATGAACCAGAATGCCACAAAGACAAAGTTTTCAGCAATCTGTTATTCCATACTTTACAAGCCATCAATATGCTCAGTACACATGTGTGGGAGGATACAAGACATTAAAATGGTAAAATATAATGATAAGAAAGACGACTTTAGGGCTTTCTGGAATATCCAGGTGAATTTGGAATTAGTTGCAGAGGGAAACAATATAATACATTTGCAAAGTTCTTTGCAAGTGCGTATGTGTCGTATATATAGGGGGAGGGAGATGGAATGGGGGTAAACAATAAGAATATAAGCCCCGGTGACTTGCTTCAGTCAGTAAGGTGGTTTAAATATAACGGTATTTGCATGTATATTTAATAAAATCTGTATATAAATATCTAAATACAGTTCAACAAAAATATCTAACCAAATTACAGAAATCCAAATGCAAAAGATAACAATAACATTTAATGGTCCCTAACTTAAAACCAGCAACTTCACTGCTTGGTCACAACTTGGAGAGCAACATGCATTAGTAGACTTACTTTTAATGCTGTTAATACATATCCTTAAGCCATAAGCGACTGTACTCTTGAGTATTTACTAAATTGCACTTTAAAAGGACTCACAGTCCAGCCTTTTCCTAAACATTAGTAGCAAAAAAAAAGTGCTCCTTTTAAAAAATAACCTAAACCTCAAATGTATCCACAATGGGGGTCTAATTTGCGCTATTTCTTAGAGGAATGCCTTAAAAAGTAATCAAAATCGCCCAAGTGGGAACTCCTTCCAGGAATGGGATGTATGCTGCACCTTATCAAGAAATTTCTTATCAAGAAATATCATTCAGAAATACTGCATAATAGACCCCTTTGAAGTCAACTGGATACAGGTCCTAAAATAAATTCCTACAAAGACACCAACAATTAATTTACCAAACATTTTATACCCTTCTATTTCAAAAAAAAGCATTTACAAACTCTCTTGTAATATTACTGAGCGCTATGGTTCAGTCACTTTAAGAATAATGGCATTTGTGGGGTGGGATTCCAACCACTTATATCTTACTGTACAAGAACTGATTTTGTTCTTTTAGCCTCTACTTGTCATTTTTACCTTACTTGAAAATAGGAAGCAATATAACTTCTGACCTGATGTGGTTCTGCTTTTCACTGTCATGTCCATTGGATTATAGGAAAACTGAATGAATACTGAACAAGAACTCAGAAATATCTGTCCTGTGCCATATTGCTATAATTTCCACATTTTCGTTTTGTTTCTAATTATAAATACTTTCCACTTGCGTATACTTTGCTCGATACTTGCTTTGCCAAGCACACATTCTTCTCCACAACATTCGAACCCATGGATTCTCATCCCGCACCTTCTTCGGTAAAATATGTTGAAATGTACTCTAGTAATGGCAGGCATTATGATGTCCATTTAAAGTCACAGCTGTTCTGATATAATATCCCTCGAAAGCAGCTCACTCTGCTTCAGACTGGCTTGCACATTCCTGCAAAATGCGATGAATATCTTGAAACGCGGGTCGACTCTTTGGTTCACGTCGCCAGCAGCTCAGCATCAATTTGTACACGGTATTAGGACAAATTGCTGGCTGTGGGAGATAGACCTACGGGGAGTGGACAAGGAATGGAGAGAAAGAAATCTGTGAGAAATCCGAGGACACAGCTGACAGTGTAACATTGTAATACAATAATAAAACATCACAAATGTAAACACCAGAAATCCAAATAAGTCGCAAACCCAAGCTCTTTCACATAGTTCACAGCTAGTGGGGATATGCATTCCAAATTAAAATTTGGATTCAGCTTTGCAGCTTCAACTTCTTAACCAGACTCACTGAAAGTGTCAAGTCCCCTTAATAAGCAAACATGTCCACAAGACTTTTGAGTATTAAAATGGTTGGAATGAGTGGTGCAGTCTTTTTTCAACCATTGATACCGCGACTCAACTCAGAAAGATGGATAAATATCACTCTCTTTCTCTCTCCTTCTCTATGATGATTGAAAAAGTCCCACAATCTGGGTTGTCTCAACCAGCTCTGATTAGCCACAGTTCCACAGCAGAAAACTGCAAATTGGATCTCAATATGCTAACTCAGTGTCAAGACTAAATGTGATGCTAACACCTCCCCAGCCCCAATAATACAGCAATCTACGTGAGGGAGGCAATAAATATTGTGGCCTGGGAAATGGCAATAATTTAATAGCAGTAATAATATCCTTGCAATTGAGATAACACCTTATCATGTCGTTGAGACTTCTCAATGCACTTCAAAAAATATACTGTAAAGTGGATTGTGTGTGTTTTGTGGGTGAAACGCAGCAGCTAATTGCGCACGGCAGTGTCCCACAAACAGTCATTTAGATTTAGATTTAAATTAAGACTATTGCAGGACTATTGCTGATTATAGGTTGGGGTTTATGTACATTGCTGGCACATATTAAAGGGAGCTGTACTCTGTATCCACTCTGTGAACGCTTAAAGCTGACGTTAGATGCAATAATTTAATTTGCAAGCACTGCCATCCCTCACACTTGATAAGATCACAAGTTAATGAAAAAGTGCTTGTTATATTAAAAAAAATCAGTCAGTTGAATTGTAAAAAATATTTAATTACAATTAATTTTAAAAAGATGTTTTTCATTGTTTTTTACCCGAGAGGAGGTGGTGGGATGGGGGGAAATGTTCCTCTTTGAGAAAGAAAAAAATTGGCATAATTTCTGCAAAAACATTTGTTTTGGCCTTGCAAATTCAAAGGTATACGAATTATGCTATACCGACTCTTGCCTGCATCTGGATTAGCTTTTGCAATAAAGATCTGGAGATTGCACTGGTTCTCAGGAAATTGTGTTACAGTTTAGATGGCAGGAATGGATCTTTTAATGGCCATATTTGTTGATCAATGATCGTTTTTGAGTTTCACTCCCTTTACGTTGCCTTGGTTTTGTGTACATCTCCTCTGCGCTACTAGAAGTGGCTTCATCTCTTTAAAACAATAAAAACGGACTGTTTTTTGGTGACAGCTTTGTGTGTCTGCAGAACTCGAATGGAACATTGGAAGAGAACCAGTGGCAAAGTGAACTTAGATTACTCTTAGTCTTAAATAGATTAATCTGCAATGGAATAGCCTCAATTTGCACAATCTCCAAAAGTATTGAGCGGCAGATGGGTTTTAAAGTATTTTGCAGAGGAGCCATTGTACCAGTACGGGTAGATAAAAAATTCAAGATTGTCCACATCCGCAGCCCTACCTGACGCTCTTGGTCTCTGAAAAATTCCCCAGTATTTTCAATCACTTGCTCGTCCGATAGCTGGGAATATGGTTGGTCTCGGCAGAAAGTCAGGGACTCCCATAGGGTCACACCGAAAGCCCATACGTCACTTGCTGTAGTAAACTTGCCCTGAATAGAAAGGAAGCAAATGAAACAAGGTCATGTACAGTATTGGTCTTAACAAGACAAGAATGTCTCCATAACTGAAGCATAAAAAATATTCATAAAATTAGTGCACGGATAGTGACAGGAGGAAAATGAGTGGAACAGAAACTTTGTTCATTTAAAATAAAAATATTTTTTCTTAGTTACAAATCGCACTTTGGAAAAACAATTGTTGAAAATTGCAGTTTAGGGACTTAATTGATGCTGACGTCAAATAAGATAGGAGATTACAATTTTCCACTGCTTCTAAGGCTTATTAGGCTTGACCCAAGTTAAGTGTCAAACCTTCAGTAAATTTGCAGATCAGTTTATATTTTTTCTCTTTGACCGAGCCTTCAGCTCCCCTCTCGACTCCCTTCCCTCTCCTCGCTCCCTCCTTCCCTCCCCTCACCCTGACCATTTTCCCCCCTCCTTGCTCCCTCCCTTCCCTCCGCTCACCCTGACCATTTCCCCCTGCTCGGGTCCTGACCCAACTGTGCAGCGCCTTGGGACGTCCTCCTGACGTGAAAGGCGCTTTATAAATGGAATCTTGTTGTTGTTGTTGTTGTATATTCAAGAGTTAACATTTCATAGAATTAAATATTGCAGAATACTACAGCATGGAAACAGACCATTCACTCCAACTAGACCATGTCTGGGTTTAGACTCCACTGCCAGTATTTAGACATATGAGCCTTCTGATCAGTCTCCCAAACCACATCTCCCTCAAACATGATCAATTTTTGGTTAAACCAAACGCTTCCTCTTAAAAAAATGTTACTCTCACCTTCCAAAATGTACAGCTAGAAGAAAGAAGAGAAAAAAGCTTTGCAAATATATTAGAGGTAGAAAAACTAGAGGAAGGTTACAAGGGGTAGAAAACAGCGAGAGAGGGCAGGAAAGAAAAGCAACAAGGACAAAAAGTGCTGAGGATCAAGCATTGAATAAGATTTTTAAATGAATCATGTTTGCTTCAAAGACACGTTTTTGCATTGATATTTAGCAGATTTGGGTAATTCCTGATAGTTTGAGTAGATTGATGTAAAATAATGTAAGATTATATAATATAATCTTTTTAGTGTTGCAGTGCCTGAGGTGAAAATACATAGAATGAGCTGGTTCTGGCTTAGCTAGTCCACAACAACAACAACAACAAGATTCCATTTACAGAGCGCCTTTCACGTCGGGAGGACCCAGGTGGACTAGGGTTAAATAAAGTGGTGCTACCAGGTAGGAAGACTCCAGATCTGAATATTCAGCATGAAAGTACTTGCCAGAAGAATGCTCTCCCAAGACATCCAGCGAATGGGAAGCACAGCTCGGCCCTGGATCCGATAATAGTCTCCACTATATAGGTTGCGGCTCATGCCAAAGTCAGCGATCTTGATTGTGTAATTCTTACCCACCAGGCAGTTCCGAGTGGCAAGGTCACGATGAACAAAGTTGAGAGAGGACAGGTACTTCATGCCAGATGCTATCTGCATCGCCATCAGAATGAGATTGGCATGGCTGATATAAAAAGAAACCAAGGCAGATACTAGGTCAGTGGCTTTTTTTGGTGCAGTGACTTTGATATGTTGGTGGGAAAAGCACAGATACGAATGAAATGCAAATCTTTCTGTCATAAAAATGGTCAGAATGAAACAGAACAAAGGACTGATTGTAGGTCGTTGTCCATGGTTTGAACAAAGGGCCAGGAAAAAAGGTGACTGCTACTTTATATACTGCACAAGTTACACAGTCAGCTTATGTAGAGTTAATTGATCTCAGCTGCTGAAGACGTTGGTAAACAAGTTATTGTTGGATATTCATCTCAATGACAGACTCTGAGCTCCAATGTACGAGGCCCCAAATCTTTTAAGAGTTGTGGAAAACCATTAGACTGAATCTAAAAATTTTGCCTGATCTTACATTTTGAGGCAGTGGTCTTAAGGCTATGACCTTGAGAAATTTCATCAAAAGAATCCTTGCATTTGATATAGTGCTTATCACGTCTTCGAGATGCTCAAAGCGCTTCACAAAATATGCTGTCAAGTGAATTGACTGTATATTTTGTGGGCGAAACATGTCAGCCAATTGTGCACAGCAGCGTCCCACAAACAGTTATGAATTGAGTGACCAAATTATTTTTATTTCTAAAAAACCCTTTTTTGAAGGGATTATTACCCCCAGAAGGCACTCCGCCAATCGACTAACAACTGGGTTCCTACTTAACACTAGGTAAACAGAGACATGCGGAGTAAGGAAACTCTCCTAAGGTTTCTCTCCGTCGGGAATAGTGTGGTGTTCTATAAAAATCACCACCTGTCCATTGCCTGTGGGGCCTCAAGCCAACATGCGCAGGAATCCAACCAATTATCCCCAGAAGCCAGTGATGTACCATGCTTCCAGTATCACCAGAATCATGCTATACTGAGGCATGTTATAATAGGATTATACAAATACGATGTATACTTTAGAGTGCCTTTCATCTCAGGACAATGTCTCAAACTGCTTTATGCAGCTGGCTGGACTGGATCTACAAACTAAAGTCTCACCTTACAATCGATGCATTGCTTGCAACTGGTTCTGCGCTCTCTGGCTCATGACGAGTTAAAAACTGATTGAGGTCCCCATTCTCCATGTATTCTGTGATCATACACAGTGGATCGTCTCTGATGCACACGGCCAATAACCTGATAATATTTGGATCTTTCAGGCGGGACATGATCTTGATTTCTTTCAGAAAGTCATTCCTGCAGATGATTAAATATTGATCACAGCTTTATTCAAAGGTGGTGTGGGCTGCGGAATTATATAGACTGTAATAACATGGAAACAGCCCATTCAGCCCAGACAGTCAGTACTGGTGTTTATACTCCACACAAGCCTCCACCCCTTGTAATGGCTTCTCCCGTATATCCTCTATTCCCTTCTCCTTCATGCATGCCTTAAGTTTCCACTGAATGAGGGTTAGGAGTTCAGCCACTAAATAAAGTTTCACACCAATAAATGATGAAATTGAAGTGATATTTTGCATAACAAATTCAATCACATTGAATGCTTTATGAAACATTGTATTTTCACCCATATTAGGGCACTTAAATTTACTCATAACAACAACAACTTGCAATTATACAGTGCCCATCACTAGTTTTTAGAAAGGAAGTTAATTGCTTGTAAGTGCTTTTCGATAACAGATAGTATTACCTATCGCGGAGGCAGACTCAAGCTGTACATGACAATGGTGAATGAGCTCTGTTGTGGATTTCTGTTTTTCAGAGCAAGGTGTAGCAAAGTACAAAAACAGCCGACAAAACCAGACAATCACACCTTTGACTTAAAATGATGGCTCCAAATATTTTGCAATTAAAGTCCTTAACACCACAAAATAGCCAGTGACTTTGCTGACCAATGGAAATGCAGGCCTTTTGTGTTTAACAATGGATTCTTTCAATGTTTCTCAACCTCAACTTCCTTTTTAGCACAAAACAAAACATTCTTCGAGTGAAGTCATTCAGCAATCTGGCCTTAATCTGGTCTGTGGCACAGAAAATCTTATTGGCAGTTGCTGGAATGATTGAAGGATGATGAAACATGTGAAGCTTTTACCTGGCATTTTTGTTGGCGTCCGACCGTAACATTTTTACAGCCACCAGAACTGGCTGGTTAGCGCTGATGTCAAATGGAAACTCCTTGTCGATAAATTCCTGCATTCCTTCTGCTTCACAGAGGTGCACCTGAGTACAACAGAAAGCGCCTTCATTGTTTATCAATCAATGCTCTCCACTCCCAAGGCATGGCTTCCCTCCTGCAATGGTTATTCCACCTTCCTGCTCTGCACCTTTGGTTGTCATTATCTTAAGTAAGTAGCACATAAACTCAGAAAAGAAAACTCATTTTGATAACAGTATTATCCACGGTTAGAACACACCTAAAAAGAGGAAGCACCAACCTTTCCTATAGCATTTAAAAGTCAGTGTGTATCTTTTAAGGTGAAACAGACCAAGATTTTAACACCGTTCAGTACTATTCAGTAAGAGCACCCGGCATTTTTTTGTAAGAGAATGTCTGACAATGTCTGGCTCAGCACAGCATGGCACAGTATTCTGTTGTGCTCCAGTGAGGTAGCTAAATGGATGTTGTATTTACATTGCAATCCATTGCCAGAAGTGGCTGATCTTTAAACCATTTACACTATGGCACAGCACCAGCAACACAGAAGCAACTGCACATTCACATACGCATTGCACTGACCTCCCCAAACTGTCCTTCTCCCAGCTTCTCCTTGAAGGTTAACAGTTTGCGTGGGAACTCTTCTACAGCCACATCTTTACCGGACAGGAGGTCCATGGTTAGAGCAGGGACCGAGTAGGTATTACTGCCAGTCACACCTTGTAAGTTAACAATGTCCGCTTCGGCGTAATGTGGAACGTTGTCCTGAGGTCCTCCAAGTGGCTTTGCATAGTCGCTGCTGCTTCCTGAGTCAGAAAAGCACATTCAATTCAGTTTATTCTGTTGTGGAAATTTCAGGTTATAAATGGGGTTACCTGCTGCCCTCCGTCATTCCCACCATGCGCTGGTGGGTATGGGTAGCACCGAATACAGCACTGGGCAATCTGGACCAGACATTATTTGCAAGTTTGAAGTCCAGTCCATGAGTTACCTGGTCGGGGTCGGGGCAGCGATTACATAGTACAATTGGCCTCAGCACTCATGTTGGGGAAGGAGAAAATCAGCCAGGTTTACCGTTTCTAGTCACCGTGTATTGCTCCTCCCTGTGCTGTAAGATGCGTGTGTGCACACACACTGAGTGAGGATATGATCAGGCTTAGCTGGGACTAGAATAGTTTACAAACACTCACTCTTCAGGTTCGCACATGAATAATAGAAAGTTTTAGCAAGTTCTTGGAGGGTGACTGGCACCTGTGGTCCTTGAACCCCACGAGAAGGAAAAATATGTCAAACACCTTCAGGAGGAGAGGGAAAACTTGTGAATTAGTGATGATAAAATTGTCAAGAAAACCATTTACAATGGAAAGAAGCCTTGATATTGTTAGTTAATAGAAGCGGGGCCAATTTCCACGTGAAAAGGTTTGTCAGCCCTTTGTTTGGCCTTTAAAATCACTTGGAATAGTGTAGCCAATGGAAAAAGATTTCTGTAGAGATGGAACAATTCAGTGGTTATGCCACTCGCAAAGATTTGCTCTCTAATTCTCACCTGGCTCCTCTAAACCTAGGGCAAATTCCGGAAGTTTCCGAAGCAACTTTGACGGCTCCTGGTAGTCGGGACCGAGAGGGAATATCCGGTCATAGGTCGAGTTTGATTCCTGTTCGCTGGAGGAGGAAGACTTGTTGTTTATCATGATGGTTTCACTTTGTAACGAGAGGCTAACGGTCAGCTCATCATCCAGCATGCGCCGCGAGGCCTAAGAGCAAAGCAGAAGAACGTAAGAACAGTCAAAGTCTAAAAAGGTCATTTTACGCAACAAGTAAGTCCGTCTTACTATCCTATCCCATCTTAATAATGAATAATAATCCTTGCATTTTGACATAGTGCCTTATCACATCGTGGAGACGTCTCAAAGCGCTTCACAGAATACATACAATATTGTAAAGTGGATTATGACTGCGTATTTTGCTCACAGCAGTGTCTCACAAAGAGTCGTGGATTGAGTAACCACATTTTTTTTAGAGATTATTCCCCGGAAAGTGACCAGTCAAACGACTAACAACTGGGTTCCTACTGACTGCTAAACCTACTGGTAAACAGAGGCATGTGGAGTAAGGAAAGTTGCTTAAAGTTTTGCCCAGGAATCGAACCCAGGTCTTCTCGCTTGCTAGGCAGGTGCTCTAACCACTAAGCTATAGGACTCCATAAGAAACCTTCAGTTGATGAAAATCCATTGGCCCATTTGTTTCCATGCTTTCAGAGCGCCCATTACCTTCGTTCCATTAAAGAATCAAGCATCCTGGCTACAGACAGATAACAATGTGAAGAGACATGAGGAGTTAGGAAACTTAATTAAAGTTAGGAAACCTTTTCCAGCATCTTCTGCCAAAACTGACGCCAAAGGATTATGACGATGATGGCGACCAGGATGAAGATGATGGCCACCAAGCAGCCAATCAGGATTCGAGTGTTACTGTCATCCACTTTGTGCATTGGGTTGATGTCTAAGAACACAACAGGAGAATGAGAATGGTTACGTTCGAGTGTGTAAATGAATAAGGTTAAAATATTTACAGACTGAAAATAAAAGTTGTCAAACCTAAAGAAATAACAAAAAACAACATGTTGTTCTTCCCAACAGCATTTCCCATTTCTGGGCCGTACAGTTACCATTTTAGACTATATCACAGGATTCATCCTTGAGTGAGGGTGCAGCAGGCTTTATCGTTCCCTGTTCCCATCTCCTGTTCCTTCAGATTCTATAGCACCATGTTTATGACCTTTTCTACTGAAAAGAACTGTTGGATGTTTTCCACCTCAATCACACTGAACAACATTCTGTTGAAGGAAATTAAGAAGCTATTTCCAAGCATGGCTCTGTATGATACTCAGTGCAGTGGGAATATAAATATTTAGTCAGAGTGATGAAATGATCAGATATGTGTTTCACATATCATTGTACAATTACAGCAAATATTGAATGCTCCCAAGCTTTATTTGAGGTTTGAGGAACTTAGGACTAAAGTTAGTCTCAAAAAAGGCAACACTGATGTAAATTATTTTGAAGACTGGAACCAGAAACCTACTCATTGTCCCAGCAGTGGAGACATACGACCAAGAAGCCTGAAGAAATCCACGGTAACTTACAATGGGGAAACGTACTAAAGGCTGACAGACCTTTAGAAAACACAATGGAAAGATATGGTTTGAATTGAGATATATTACCGTGATGAAACATAGACCGCAGATACTCGGCCCTTCCCCTGAGATACTAAAAGGTTTGCTCAGCTCTTGCCAAACCACACACAACAATCTGGCCAACAAAATGGTCAAGCCAACTTCTTTCTAAGCTGACTATGATAATAATAATCCTTGCGTTTGATATAGCACCTTATCATGTCTTCGGGATGTCTCAAAGTGCTTCACAGAATATATTGTAAAGTGAATTGACTGTATATTTTGTGGGTGAAACACAACAGCCAATTGCGCACAGCAGTGTCCCAAAAACAGTTGAGGATTGAAGTGACCAATTATTTATTTTTTTTTTGAAGGAATTATTACCCCCGGAAAGCGATCCACCAATTGACAAGCAAACAGGTTCCTATTTACTGCTAGGTAAATAGAGGCGAGTGGAGTAAGGAAACTTGCCCAACGTTTCTCCTTGCCAGGAATCGAACGGATCTGTCGCTTGTGAGGCGAGCGCTCTAACTACTGAGCAGAGGAGCACCCAAATAAGCATGGGAGCACCCAGAGTCAAGAGGGGAAAGGTCGTTTTCATAGTTAAGATTAGAAACTCGCCCTATGGGGAATATTGAGCACTGCACATGCCATGAAAGGAAGGGGGATTTGGGAAGTTTTCCTTCAAGGTTCTTTCAGGACAATTCGTAGCACCTCACTTATGCCACACCAGACTAGTACTGATAGATTCTGATAGGCAAGGAGAAATTTTACAAGCACCATCATCGCTGAAAAGAAAAAAGAAAAAAAGAGAAAAGAGAAAAAAAGCAATATCACATGACAGATGATATTCAGAAATCCCAAAATACATCAGGCTTGTGATTCAACAAATGTTAATTTATTCTGAATTCTGAGTAATTCTTCTTTGAAAACTAGCTGGGTCATGCTTGTGAACATCTATTCATGTTTTAGAGGAAATCTAACAATATCTTACCATTGTCACTGTGGGTTGTGCTGTCCACATCCGCAGTTGGGTAAACTCCTGAAGTGTTGTACATCGCTGTGTCTGCAAAGAAAAACAGTGTTGTTATCGTGAAACCAGTTGAGCTCATTGAGGGAACAAATATATTTATCAAGGATTATAAAGCAACATCTACTTGCATTAAACAGTTTCATTTTAACAAGACAAGGTCTAATATGCAGCAACTTTGAATGGGATTCCTTAAAACACTTGGAGATGACCTCCCAATGTGATTGGTGGTGTATCAGATGTAAAAATTGTCAATATTATTCATACCTGACTGGAAGGAAATTTCACTGAACATCATCCACGTATCAGCAAAGTAGAACTGGCACATGATGGAATTTGCCATTCGCTGCTGCAGAGGGACAGTGACAAATCGGGCACTAGGATTGACGTCATCCAGGACCAGAACTGATGTGACTGGGGTTGGTTCCCATTTACCCAGTTCCGAGCAGAAAAAACATTGAACTTCTCGAAATATCTTCACTCCCTTCGTGAACATGTTATTACAATGGACCTGCAGCCATGAAAGGGTAAAGGCTACTGATGGGATTTATTCAGCAAACTGAAACAAACATGTACCAGAATAACAAGCTGTAAAATAAATTAATCTACTCCCTCCAAACATTTGGTTCGATTGGGAGCTTTCCCTAGTTGAAACAAGCAGTTCAAATTGTGCCAATAGAAGATTTTCATATTATTTTGTTTTAAATGCTAAATTTAATTGAATCTCATTAGCAATTTTGTTTTCACAAATGGAGGACTAAAGTTCAAACAAAAATAAATGGAAGATTAATTTCTTTTTTGCATCATGTGAGATGATTATAATGTTCAACTGGATTTACTAGTGACAAAGTAACAAGGTGCTGGAGTGATTGCCACATCTTTGTACTTGCAGTGTTTTGGTCAAGGAGAGGCTGACATGCTCGCCACAAGCACAATGCAAGTTTTATCCATTTCTCTATATTCTTTATATTCAACACGTAGGCTGAATGGCCTTCTTCCGTGCTGTAAATAAACATTCTGTGCTAACAGAGGCTTTCCAAGGAAAACCATGGGATTGTTGCTCCTCTGTAAAGAACCTTCTAATAGACATGTGGCTTGTAGCATTGAGCCAATAGCATTTTGGTATGGAAGTTATTGAGAAAATTGTAGCTACATACACCTGAGCCTACAGTGCCGTATCACTTTGGTGAAAGAGTCTAAAGGGGAAAATTTTCCCCAAAATCTGGAAAAGAGGGATAAAAATCCCAAAGTGAAATATACTTCATAATAATAATCCTCGCAAGGATACTGCAGCCTGTGAAGCCTTGTAAAATGAAATGATCCTTATAATGAACTGTTTGAAACATCTCCATTCATACGAGTTGGAATATAGGGACATTCCAGTTTCAAAGAAATCGTGATGTGCCAAATAACATTTGAATTAATTATTTGAAATTGGGAAGGGTGCAGCCTGCTAAACCATTTCCAGATTAAACTGCACATTTTATTAAGATAATTACTCCTGAGGCTAAGTGTCTGACTGCCAGGAGTGCAAGTAACTACAAGTCTATAAGTATATGGGGCATTGGGTCCCAGGCTAGACTGTCTGTAAACCCACTCACCATGAATGTTTTTTGCTTAATGAGAACTGTGCATGCCAGATTCTGAGTCCGACCAGACTCTTTAAAACAGTAGACTTTTGTTTAATTGCAGATGTTGGGAGCTATGGACTTACCCATTACATTATTTGTATTATACATTACTGAGCTCCCTCGAACAGCATTGGCTATTTTTTTTTTGGCCTGGTTACTGATGTTGTGCAACTTAGCATACCTTTTTCTTTTGCTATACCAAATTGCAAGAAAATTATATTTTTTAAAAATCCAATAATTATCACACAGCATTTAACGGAGAAGTATAGAGGAAGTACTTTCAACCTGATTCAATCTAATGCATTATTGATAAGACTCAAAACAGTTTACAAAATCTCCCACTGGTTGGAAATATTGCTTGTTTTTAAATTGTTGTTAGAAACATGCTATTTTGAGGGTTTCACTTTCCGTGGCCAGATGTTCAGATTATTCCAGCAGATGGAGCATTAGAAAGCAGGTCCGTACGGAATCTCGCTTTTCGATCCTGACCACTGACTGCGAAGTGCCTCAGGAGAATTCCTCACCAGTGGCAGACCGGTAAAGTAAATGTTACACATCAAAGTTGTGGATGAAAGAAGATGTCTTTTGCCTCTTCCACTACTCGCTTGTTTTGGTCAAACTTGCAATAAAATTGTTGCTGATATTCTGAGAAAGAAAGAAAAGGAAAGAAAGAAAGAAAGAAAGAAAGAAAGAAATGTGGGTGGTGGGGGTGGGGTGGGAGGTGAAGAAAAAACAAAGGGCTTTGCACCTTCATCGCTGTGAAATTTCGGATCCTATCAAACTCAAATAGAATTTCCACATAGCCATTTTCAAAGCTGGTGTTCTGCCACCCCAAGTAGTCATAGCCTGGCCACACGTTGTACACGTGACTTTGTGTGAAATCATCCAGGCCCCAGACTCCGTCCGTCATCTGACCAAGTCCTTCTGAAACCTTCCTGGGGGCAAACAGATACAAGGAAGCCTTATTCACAATCCTCAGCAGCAAAACAGCTGGTTTGAATGAAACTGTTGACGTGGCCACTATTGCATGCTTTATAGTGTTTTGTAAGGGCTACAGTGTTAACAAAAAGCATTGTAGCGAAAATAATTTTGTGTCCTTCAGTCACTTCGGTTTATTGCAGTACATAAATAAGTCTGTTATTGCCCCCAACAATGATTTGCTACACTAATTGTTGCCATACTGTAATTGTCCTGTGGAACTGCATTGAAAAGTGAATATTTACTAATAAAAATAACAATAATAATCCTTGCATTTGATGTAGCGCTTTTCACGTCTTCTATACTTTTATACTGAACTCTTATCAACTATTTTTTACATTTCAGGAAATATTTTACGTTTACAAATGGTTGTTTTAAACAGCAGTCTCTTTTCTAAGTGAAATTTTCATCCACTATTTCTAAAGGAAGCTTTAGTTTTGACAATGATTTCTTGAGTCTGCAGCCCATAATGGGTCTCGTTCCCCACTTGTCTGGGTGGCCATTCTTCTCATTGAGTGAATATCTGCAGACTTGGTGACTGTGAAAGGCATTTCAGCTGAATCTGACTCTGTCCTCACTAAGAGAACATCGGATAGCAATTGGACACAGAAGACCTGGCTCAATTTTTGTTTTTCTAATCCAGGGGCAGCGAAGCCAATTATAACACATATAACTGTCACTATAACCAAAATCAGCTAATCTTGGGAATAAAACCAAGGGATTTCTTGGTCTCCATGGTCCAGCTTCACTAAAGGAAGCCTATCATTGTCTTTGATGAAATCAGCAAATGGGTAAAATTTCTCTAACGTAACCATTTTAAATCTAACTTTGCAGAGAGCAGGGTCAAGAAGAAACAACTGATTAGAACCATGAATAGAGTTCAGGAAATTCCAGGCTGAGGCTAGTGCTACAATAAGTTCTCTTTTTAGAGTTACATCAGAGAAATCAGAGTACAAAACCAGCATATACAGTATATAGCTCAGGCTCAACAAATGACATATCAATTCCATGGGTAAGAATGACTGTGATAGCGGGCATGACCACTGATTTCTATCTGTCGGGTAATTCCCGTTGGCTAAGCAAATTAAAACATTTTGGCAGTCTGCATATATAACATCCTTTCTATGTGGTTACAACTTCCCTCCCTCCTTGTGTGGTACAATAACTATGATAGAAATATAAAGAAAGGGAATCTAGTGATTGCTTTGTTTATCTGTCCATCTGTAGGTTGCTCTGTAGAAAATTATAGAAGCAGAATTACTTTGAATTGCCTGCCCCACATTTACAGAGAAGCTCCCCAGAGAGCAGGTTTACTTTCATCAGAGCTGGTTGCTCACTGGGAAAGATCAACAAGACAGCAGCATCTATAACTTCAATCAGATGGGCTATGGGAGGAATTCAAGACCATTACAGCCATGGTACTATTTGATGTAAAGAATACAAAACCACGCCCGTCTTGATAAGAATCACCAATTAAAGTTAATTTGATTGTGAATTAAAGTGTGTTCACTAAGAAAATTACTTCTTTGATGTCAATCACAGGAGAAATATTGCCATCAACTAGTTACAAGAATTTGAAGAAGTTTTACTGCCCACAAGTAAGCATTCCTCTGAGAAAACTCTACTCTTTCTCAAACAAAGATTTCCGCACACTGCTCCAAATCGCTCAATAGCTATGGGTAAGAAACATGGCAAATTTATTGTTCTATCGAGTTTTTTCTGCCAATATTTTAATATTGTGACTCTGCTTGCCAGGTTGAAGGAAAGCAATACATGTCTTTGCTCCAGTAGATATGTGGACTTCGTGACAATGGTCTGCTCCAGTCTACTGATAGACATCTACTGATTGGCACTGTGTAATTTCTCAAACTATCTGGGACAATGCACCTGGTTGAATAGTATTGATACAAGATTAACTTTGAATCAATTTGGCAAGTCAAACTGGAAAAATTCAACCCTATGGGCTTAGACTCTCAGGTTCCTGATGTTATAATAACTACTTTGTGGGATCTTATGGCTTGATAGAGTTCTTTATTATTTCTACTTTACATGTTGAGCTAATAACGGGCTGGTGATACATATGGCGCTCAGTGATCTGAAGCCACATGATGTGATCGATATCACTTCTTTTAATATTAAACTTGATCAGGAATCACATAATTCAGAAAGTATACATTCAGTATAAACAGCTGAAACTGCCAATGATAACTTCAGTACTACACTTGCTAGCACTTGGGAACGCTTGTTCAAAAAGGATTGTTTAGGTACCAAATTCTATATAGTCTGCAGTTTTCAGATGAATTTGAGGTTTTATCCAATTTCTCCTCCAATGAAGGTGGACTTGACTGGTTTGCATTCTATCTGTTCATACAGTTAGATTTTAACTTAACAGAGAAGATTACATAAAGGAATATCCAATAGTTAGTCACCACAAAGGTGTTTCCATTTAGAAGCCTGCGATTTGGAAAAAAATATTTTCAGCATCATTCTTCAAATGTGGATAGCCTTCATGCCATTCCTTATCTGAAATATTCCATACCTAATTTCTGCCAGGTTGCTTCCTTCATTTCTGGCTGTGCCTCAATCAAAGAACGTGTTGGGAAAAGGAGTGCCGTCTCATTGCCTAGTGCACATGGCAGTGAAATGGCAAAAATGGATGTCAGCATGCAAATGTCTTACCTTGAGCTGATTACACCATCATACACTGTATCGTTCAGATAAACGGAAGGGCTCCCGGCTGAAACAATCTGATGGCCCATAGGACCATTATAAGACACTAAGCCATCTGTAAAGGAAAATACAACTGATATGCAAAGATATATTTCATCTGCTGGTCACTAAGATTTTATTATACATTTTCACAAAGTTTATATCAACATTTGTGGTTGGGATCTCTAAATTAGTTGAAAAAAACAGACTGACTGACGATTATGAGACGTGCTTGTAGCCTGTTACACTGCCAACTCAAGAGCATTGTAACAGTTTTGAGGTTTGTGTCCACAAGGAGGCCTAGTATTTGTTTCAGAGTCTTGGGATAATGATGGAAAATTGTTTGATTACAGTTGTCCTGCATGTCATTTTGCAATTTGGCAAAATAGAAACTGCTCAGACATTCTCAGGCCCAGGTCACAGAGATTTTGGCAAAAAAAAACTTTTCTATTATTGATCATATTCTCATCATGTACGAGATAGGTCTCAAACGAAGTGGCACAATTACATTAATTTAAAGAAAAGAAAGACAAGCAAAACATGTGTCTGGGTGCCATGTGGAATTGTCAGAATTGAAGAAGTTTTACAAGTTTGTCAACTCTGCGAATTTCCTTTGTGGCGCTTAATCTTGGTTGTGTCTGTCAAGTTCTATTGTGGCTGTCGAACTCTGCAACCTGAGGTGTTGACCTAGATCTGCCTTTATCTCAATCAAAATAAAAGAGAAATAATTTCTGGATTAGTGTGATTGTATAAGTTTGTTTCAGCACACACCTAACCATTCACAGCCGTAGAGTTCAACTCTCATGCACACACTCATGGAGTGATCGGTAATTGGTATGAACCTCACAAATCTGGCTATCATCGGTGGTTCCAGATCTCGCAGTACAGGATCATAGGGGTTCACGTTTCCTTCAATCACCTAAAGGGACCACAAAACAGTTAGGATTTAGGTGAGGCTGAGCTTTGGTTTTTGCTGGAAAGTGCATGTGTATGTGTGTCGGGCTAGGACTATTAATCTATTAATCTATTAATCTGTCACTCTCCTCCTCGCCTCTCTGCCCTTTGGTTAACATTCAATATCAAGGTACACAATAAAGACTAGATAAAATATACAGCCAATTCACTTTACAGTATATTCTGTGAAACGCTTTGATACATCTCGAAGACATGATAAGGCCTCTATCAAATGCACGGATTATTATTACCAGAGTTCCGCTGCTACCTGTGGAATTGTGTGATTCACTGCCTTCATGTAAGGAGGGGAGAAAATTTGACAGGACAAATGACCTCAGACTATTGTGGTGAAGGAATGTGTTGAATTGCTACTGTATTTCGAAGAGTAATATATTTTCTGACCATTTTAATTTTGAAGTCATAGAACTAAAAGTTAACATGGAGTTTTAATGCATTTGCCAAAGGCCGAAAAATTATGCACAGTTGTGGAACGCACCTGTTTTCCATGACGGTTTTTCCATGAATTCCATCGATTTCCATCCCTGCTATAGTCGAGCCTATACATCTGAGCAAATTCATTTCCATGTCCTCCGGCATGACGTCCTTGAGTTCCTACAAGCGTAATAAAGTGCAATGTTCGTAGATCAACCTGAAGGAACTCCATATCCTCAGGGTCCACTGGACCTTCTGGGCACCAGGCTCCATCCCCTTCTTCGAAATCAAGCCTACGGAAGTATACAACACAATGGTTCACATCTTAAGTTTCTCGAATCTTAAAGAAGGTGGCAGTATTCTAGGTCTCAAACAAGGTCTTTTTGTTAGGATCTTGTGAAAATGGAGAGTTGATGGTCTCTCTTGTTAATGCTTTTAGCAAACGGATTCCCGGATTACAACAGTGTTCTCAACATCAAGTAACTACAGATTTCAAACTCAACCATTTATTTGCAAACACCAAGAAATCATGGACATGTTCTGACCTTGTTCAAAAACTAATGACATATTCATTGCATGTGATCAACAATGTACTAAAATATTAAGATCTAACCTCGGCAATCCGGAACAGTATTTTTGATGTGTACTGACAGTAAGCACAGATAAGAGCTTGAGATGGGTATCGGTACAACGATATCTGAATTAGGTTATATACAAATTGTGTTCAGTTATTGACGGTATATAGGAGGTCTCAGGTTAGCAATCAACTGTTACATCACTGTAACACTGTGAGTGAGACATTAAATATGATCATGTCTTGGACAGAAACCTACATTCCTGTTATTCTATACCATATGTTGACTGTGTAAACTCTTACTCTACTCTAACAGGTTATTTGAATACACTAATGATTCTCAGCAGAGCACTGACTCACTCACCTTCCATATTTGGCTGCAGTAGAGTCATACCAGTGGCTGGATGCTGTAATATCTTCATCTTGGATTTGCCCGCTTGACATTCCAAGTGGATAGCGACACACAGCTAGAGGTGAGACCACAAAACACACAGGAATTTAACATCATTCTGTACCGCAGTCTCCATCTCTCCCAGGTAAACTATACTTCCCACAAGCTCTTGGCAAATGCCTTCAACAGCCTCCCACCCAGTCCCATTGTGATTGGTTTGAGATCTTGTGGAACAAGAGAGTAACATCCACAGAAAAAAAAACTGCTACCATTGAAAGCACATTCACAGCAGTTCACTGCAGTATATACAAAAATGCCTTGATTGGTGACTATGATTATGGATTCAGTTTCAGGAAGTTTAATAAAGAAACCAGTGAATGGTTTGACAAAAGCTGCATGGGTAGATTTCCCACAAGGCTGGGAAATGTGAAACAGGCCAGGTCAGATTGGCCTGCTCGGCAAAGATTACTTTGCTGTGAAGAGGTAGGATCGAGGCTTCTGTGTGTGATTTCCCTACTGATCAGTCCCTGATCTTGGGCCAGGCTGTTGGAGTGCTGAGCAGAGCCAAAGCTTTTCTCCAAAGGGGGAATGAGTCAACCTGCATTGTTCATGTCCACCACATACTGTACTAGGTTGGTAGAGAATAATGACGGCATAGAAGCCATGCTGGGAGAGGGAAGGAGGAAAGACAGCCAATGAGGAGGAAAGAAAATCATTTTAAAATGGGTAAACATATTGGAAACAAGTAGTGTTTTATCTCAATTCTGGGAGTGTGGGAGCCAGATTCCATCATGGGTCCAACCTATTATCTAAAGTATCTTCATACAACCAGCCTTTAGTATTTGGTATTCAGTTTTTAAGCATTAGTCTGGTTTTATATAAGTAGTTATGAGTAGTTATAATAATAATAATACTACTAATCCTTTCATTTGATACATTGAGCACAGCAATGTCCCACAAACAGCCATTTATGGTAGTATCAAAGCTATATCTAACATTGAACAGCTGTATTTACTGTAATATAAGGGTTTGTTTCAACATCGGGGTGTGCAAGCTGAGAATTATTTAAAGAATGGCTGGAGCAGTTTCTCTGGACATGGCAGTCTGAGAGTTAAATATGTAGTTGTGCTCACTTAATTGGCAGTTCATGCCTATGACTGTGATGTAGAAATGGGGCACTTTCCCTTTTGCCTTTCTTGTAACACTATTGAGTTTCTATTTTCAAACCGTGTCTAACACAAGGCTAACCCGTAGGTGTTACAAGTCTGGCACAGTTGGTAGCACGCTCGTCTCTAAGTCCCACATCGAGGCTCCCTTGTGAAATGAATGCAGACATGTAAAGAAGAAGCTAGTTTGAAAAGTGGTTCCTCACTTTGACATTAGACAGGCAAAAAAGAGGAGAGTTGAGCTGAGCCCACATATATTGCATGCTCCATGCATTTTCAATATATGTTTTCATAATATAACCAGGTTCAAGGCAGTTCAGCCTTGAGTCCATTGCACATTGCTGTCATTCCTTAGGACAAGAGACTACACTTTGAGCCTGCACCTCCACTGCAGGCGGTTGCAAGGCAAGGCTTGTGCAGTTTAAAGCACGATGAAAGGACACGTTCAGCTTTGAATGCATTGAATGGAAAACTACTGGGCTCTGCTCTACCTTTACAGCTATTTGGTAAAATCCTCAGCCGGCTCTCCACACTGTAGGCATTGGCAACAGTGTGAGGAAAAAAACTCAAGATGAATGAACCACTTGTTTCCCAATATTTGCTGTCTTACCACTGGCTCCAGCACACATATATTATCATTATTAGACTTGGTTGATGTTGAAAATAGTTTTAGCAGAGCCAGTTAATGTCAGAAGTTACAGATAATAACAACAGTAATTTCTGAAAACAAAAACAGAGGATTTAAACAGAAACCACGGCATTTAGATTAAAAAAAAGAAACCCTTCCATGTCTGGCATGTATTCTTTCTGACACAAAGTTCCATTTGATATAATGCCGAGTGCTCTTTTTCAAATGGATGTTCAAGATCCCTTAACGGAATTGAAAAAGAAAGGGAGTTCCTCCCAATGTCCCGGCCAAAAAAATCCTCGGCTCCGCCGCTTCGAATGAAAAACATCTGAATTAATTACTGTTCACACACTCTGAGAAGATCTAGTTTTAACCCATAGCAATGTGCAAACATGAACATATAATGGCTCCATTAGCCTAACCTTTGTTTTGTGTGGAAGGCCTATCTTCGAATACAGATTTCTCAGAATGTTGGTAAATTCTTAAATCCAATCTTAATTTTATAGGTGTTTTTCCACAGCCCTTTTCTTTAAGAACGATAAAACTGACACCCAAATTAAGAATAAATTGAAGGATTTGCCAAACTTCTGCACAAGCTGAAATGCTAAGATAATAATCTTAAGGGTGAAACCAGGTGGAATTTGGGGGCAGCTGATTAAGTAAAAGAGAATGCTTACCCATGGATTTGCTGAAAGCAGGAAGAACTAATATGGTCAGCACCTTACCTGGATTAACCTGAGCCTGGATAAGCCCGAGCCAGTGAAGCAGCAGCAACAACAACAAGTGCATTGTCAGAAAAGACATAGAGATCGACTCAAGAGAAGAAGCAGATTTTCAGCCCTGAGGAAAGAGTTAGCAAGTCAGTGCTGAGATACCAATAACGACAGCAACGTCTTTAATTGTAACTTTTCCTGTGTGAGTCTATCTTTGCTGGTTCTGTTGTGTGTAACACTCTTACCTGTATAACACCGCATCTTAATGTCTCTCCGTTGGTTCAAGAATAAATATCTAACTGGTCCCTATACGCCTATATATTTAACCATGTTTACCAGTAATATAAAGACAATTTTTAAAAATGAAATAAATTAATTTATTGATAACTGAATAAAAATACATCTCATTTTTATAGATCATTATGTGCTTATTATCTGTGGTTGTTATTAAATTAACACTAAAGTGGGTTATGAGACTGCTTTAACATTCACTCGCTAAACTTTTTGTTACACCATTTTTCAGCACATTTCACAGATTGTTTGATACAACTTTTACTGAGGATCAACAGCATGCACCCATTCAATTTCTCTGTTAACCTTAAAAAATGTGTATGGTTGACCCAACTTTCTGCCATATTCGCTGGCTTATAGCTCAATATACATTCCATGTTATTTGCCACTTGTGGTAGTAAACCAACAGATAGTATGTACTACATCGCTGTAGTTTGGAATTTCCATGTGTAGGTGGCATGTATGGAATTCTCAGTTTGGTTTGGATTCTCTTAAGCATGATGATGGGTTTCCGCATGTGTCGGACACCTGGCTGACCAAAAACAAAATTCCGTGAGGCTAATTTACATTGGTCTATAACACAATTTCCTTGCCTTTATGCAATCTACGCTTTCTTGTGTCATAAGATTGTAAAAAAAAGTTTAATTTCTCAATTAACATTTGACCCTAAGATTGCAAAAGCATACTGTACGAAGCAATTTCTCTTTAAAAATACATTGTCAACCATACGCCTCCTTTTTTAAGGTTAACAGGGAAACTGAATGTTAATGGGTGCATGTTGTTGGTTAGTAAGTTTCTGTTTTGCATTACAAATTTATTATTTGTTTGGCAACTGGCAAACAGTTGTTACTAAAACGGAGTGAAAACATTTCAGTGGTATCCATAGGACAACATTTTTTCCTTGTTCAGGATATTCTCAATTTTGGGTCAGAGTTCGCAAATGTCAAACAGATCGCAGAAACTGCAGCAAATCTGCACAACAGCAAAAAGCCACATCCCATCGCCACCAACCAAACCACCAACAATGGAAGTTAGCCAACATGGAGTTTGTAGCTGTTACATACAATTTATGAACTACACTAGTTAAATACTGATTTCATTGTTCTGATAAAGCACAGAAATTAAGTTTCAGCTTTTCCGAATTATCCCCAACATTCCCAAATGCACATCATTCACATACATGTTTATGTTTGGGAAGGAGAGATATACAAAGATTTATTTACATCTTGCTAATCACGTGAACTTAAAGTTCAGTTTAACTGCTGCTGAAGGACTTCTCATGTCCAACTTATTACAAGGACAATTGATGAGATCAAGGCAGAATGAATTAAGTGGAGTTTGAAGAAAAATACTGTACTTTACAATTCTAGGTACCTCACTTTGAGGGCTCAAGAAAAATATGGTTACAAACGGACTAACAATACATTATCCAGAGTAAAATGATCCGAAAATAGTGTTAGCATACTTAAAGTGAAACCAAGTCTCACACGTGGTTAAGTAGCCAAAGTAAATCACAAATTGAATAGTTTCACAGTTATAAGAAGGTGTTCAGACCTGACTACAGTACAATGAAGGAGACAGGGTGAACTCTACCAGGCAGCACTGCAAATAACTGCGTATAAGCAGACAAAGACTTGTGTGATGATGCACAGAATGATTATACACCAGCTGGGATTTGTATGGTTTGACTATCTCATGTGCTTTGTGTTGTACAGGGAATAAAGCCTGCTAAAATATCAAGGGATAAATGAGCCTTTGGAACTAATTTTCAAAAATAACAACCTGTATGGTTGAGCCAGAAATACAGTGGGGTTCATTTGTAAATGACACGTGCCTCTTGCTCAGTTCTGTATTAAATTTGTTCTCTCTTTCTCTAACAACCAAGGGGGTTAAACACATTGTTTTCAAGTTTTAGTTCAACACCGCGCAGCTCAGAAATACCTCTTACACTCCCAGTACCTCTTGTAAGACTCCTGACACTACATTATAATAATCCTTGCATTTGATGTAGCGCTTTTCACGTCGGGAGGATGTCCCAAAGCGCTTCACAGAACACACTGTAAAGTGAATTGACTGTATATTTGTGGGCGAACGCGGCAGCCAATTGTGCACAACAATGTCCCACAAACAGTTGTAGATTGAAAATGACCAATTTATTATTGTTTTTGGTTTTTGGAGGGATTACATTGTCAGGGGTACATGTGTTCCTTTATGGAGAATATATAAAATGATCAAACATTAAAATGGTACTAATCAATAAATGCTTTAAAAATGGTGTAATGGTTTTATTACAGATATAAACTGTAGCACCTCAAATCTTCAGGAAATTAACATTTAGTGGAACAAAGCCTTCACTCTGTGTTCTTTGGTGTCAACATCAACAGCAACAACTTGCATTTACGTAGCGATCCTCATGCAGGATAAATGACCCAGAGTGCTCAAGCATCTTATGGAAACAGGCTTACATAAGAGTAACATTAGCAGAAGAAATGTAGACTGTATTTGATGGTTACAAAATTCTTCAGTTATTTTGATATTCTGAGAAAAAGCAAAACAACGTTGCCACTCTGAATCTGCCCAGGACTACTAATGGAAAGCAGACCTGTTTGCAATATATTCCAGTCATGTTGGCACTATTCCACTTGAGGGACGAGTTGTGCAATTGGATGTTAATTATCGTCCTAGTTTATTATAAGATCTTTTCTGTTTTAACAAAAAAAATTCGAGGCCACAGATAGTTGTTTTGCATTTGTTATTCCTTTCCTGCTGACCTCCTCATTTAGAGTTCTATCATTGTCTGTAGAAGCTTTAGAAGTCACTGTATCTGTACACTGGGGAAAAGTCTCAGTCATATTTCTCTGCAATGCCCATTGAAAGGGAATCAACATAAAAACATTCCATTGCCATTTGAGTCTCAAACATTTTCCTTATAAAAGATGAGAATCACATAATGGACAGTCTGAAGCAACTGATTCATTGTCCTGTTTGAAATTCCCAATGTATCTGGTGTATGGATGCCATACACTAAATGATCGCATCCTATATCAATAATAATCATTGGATTTGATACATCACCTTTCATGTCAGGACATCTCAAAGCAGTTCAGGGTATTTACTGTAAAATGTAATGACTGTGTATTTTGTAGTAAACAGGCTGACAATGGGGTCTATTCTAACTTTTTTATGACTGGGTTAAAGTATCCCATTGGAATTCCTGATCACGCTCTAGATATATGCTCAGGAAATAGAATATGTCAGACACAGGTTGCGTGATGTCCTTATAGTTACCTGGACGAGTATTTGCATGACTTGGATTCCTTAAGAAAGTATCTGGTTAAAGGATACCCCAAATTAGACCCCAGAATTAGGTAATGGAATTCTTTTTCGTTGTAGGATCTGGTACAGCACCAAATTAGATGAAGTAAAGCCCACATTACGGCAGCACTGTTTACTTTCTAATTTGTTCCTCATTTAGCAAAACATTTTTAAGTTGCTCCGATACAGTTGTGGTATTTATTTGTTTGACTAAGGCAAACCATATTTAGTTACACGTTTACTGAGGAATCCTGTTGATGGGATCAAAGCAGCAAAGAAGAGTGATGCTGGTGCGACTTTATATGAATTATGGTCTAGTTTAATATGTGACATTCTTGCTGAACTGCAACAACACTCCTGGTTTTATTCTTTTTCCTTCCCTCCTTCCCAACCAGCAGATTGTATGAATGTTAATTCAATGGCTCCACTGATCCTTATTCTCAGCAATCACATTTGGGGCAGGTTAAAGCAAGGCTCTCTGAGATCAGTGCTTAATTGGTACTGAATTGTGTTTAGTTTGATCTGAGCACCAGTATTCACTATTAACCAGATTGAGGGTGTTCAAACCTATTTTCACAGATAAAACTTTAAGTCTAGGGAGAGTTGGATGTAGAAAACATCTCTCGTAACCTATTAATCTGTGATGGATCTGATCCCCACTCCCAGAAGTTCAAGGGCTGTGTTCTAACCACGGACTCCACCTCTAAGCATTCGCCATATGGAATAACAGTGCCGACTTCACCATCTAAGTGGCCCATGGTTCTTGGCAAGAGAAGCTGGGTTTCCTTTTTAGAAAATGTAGGTCACTAGAACAGTTCCTGTTCTCTGGCCTGATATATCAGTGAATAAAGTCCTTATTACTTAGACGCAGTAGTTTGTTTTATCCCTTGCGAATAGAAAAGTGGAATCTGCTATAACCCTCCCCACCCCACCCACCCCCCCAACACAGCTACAAAACGTTTCAAACACAGTGTGTTCGGTCTGTGTGTCTGTAAGAGTGTATGTGTCTCCTCTCTCTGTGAGTGTGTCTCTCTCTCTGTCTGCGAGTGTGTCTGTGAGTGTGACTCTATCTCTGTGTTTGTGTCACACACACAGTCTCACTCTCTGGCTGTGAGTGTGTATGTGTCTCTCTATCTCTCTCTCTGTGTCTGTGAAGTATGTGTATCACTCTCTGTGTGTGTGTAGTGTGTGTGTGTCTCTTTGTGTCTGTGTGTGGTGGCAGGCCTCGAGAGGCAGGAGATGGTGACCTCTTGAAGCCCCGCAGTTCCCCTAGTGTTTTTCTCCCCCTTCCCCAATGAACCACCCAGTTTTTGTTAAAGAAAGCATTAATCATTTTGTTTTGTAACAATCTAGTATGTGTCATTTCTTCATGTTTAGTTTTCATCAATAAAGTGAAAAATGTAAGTTGGCAGCAAAATGTATCTCTCAATATGCCCCAATCAACCCCCCCACCACAATTTTTCCATAAAATGTATCAAATTTCCCTGAAATTTTTTGTCAAATATTTCTGTAATTTTCTAT